TTATTTTAAGTTGAAAACCAAGCTAGACATTTGATTAATAAAAAAAATGAAAATTCTTCGACGTCTTTTCGATAGCATTCCATTTTTTTCACTAGGGAATAAATTGTCTTATATTTTTCTTAGAAAGTTCTGCAAAGGCAACATTTCTTCTAACCCCCCCCAAAATGTTTCAGAATTATTTTTAACTATCCAGTGTGTAATTGTGAATCCTTTGGACATTCTAGATTCAAGTCAGTACAGTTTTAGCGGTAACAAAATTACTTCAAACATTAACTTTTTGCTGCAAATCAGTTTTGAAATGCAGAAGTCCCGTTTATATAGCTAAATGTGTACATCCCTGGACAATTCCTTGGAGGTTTTTTGGCAATTTTATTTTTTGTGGCAAACACATCCCACCCGTCTTCCTCCTTCTATTTTCCCCACAATAACAACTCTATGAGGTGAATTTGGCTGAGAGATATTTCATGCCTAAGGTAGAACTAGAACTCATGGTCCCTCAATTTCTACCCTGGTGACTTTTACCATCACCAGGCTGTCTCTCAACTAAATTTTTCCCTATAGTAGATAATAGGTATCGGAAAAAACTGAATATCTTACAAGGCTTTCGCTGTGCCTGATATAAAAGCAATTTACTAGATCAGATTTCCAGCATCATGCTAAATCTTGGATGGACAGCAAGTTACTGCCAAATTCTTTCATACATTTTGAGCACTAGTATCTTAACCGCCTAAATCTTGTCTGATCTGATCCAACTAATTTAATGAGCTAATAAACCAGAATAATTCCACAAGACCAAACTTGCTTCTTTCTAAATATTTGCTCATTTCTGAATCCTAAATTACAAGCATTTAATTTAGAAATTACATTTCTGATGGCAACTTTCTGGCTGCTCGCAAACAATTTCTAAGAAATGTAGTATGATAACTCCAAGAAGAGGAAAAATGTGGTTAGCGTGGATAACAACAGATGTGCTTTGATAGACAAGGAGAGGGTCTTGATGTAATAAAAATACATATGTGATAATTTAGGACTTAGTGAAAATCTTCAAAGATAAATCATTTTGTGATCCATTTCCTAAATTTTTTGCCTTTTTTCAGAATCTCTCTGTGGAGTTTCAAAATCCCTTCTTTCGTGAAATACCTTCCTCTCCTATACACTTATTTTTGAAAAGAAATTTGTTGTACATTTGGATTTAATATGATCTTTATGATCTCCCCAAAGCCTCCTCCTTGAGGCTCTGCAAAACAGATTCATCCATTGGTTTATGAAATACTATAATAAACACATACATTACATACACTGAGCAAACATTTTAAGGGAATATCTCTGACTAAGTATCCAAAAACATCTATAATAATAATTTGAATAATTCATTACATTTATATGCTGTTCAACTCCCAGCTACTCTGGGCAGTCATAAGAAGTAGGATGAAGTCAAGAGGAATCATTTACTCCAAAGACTCTGAATTAAATCCAAAGAGAATGGAGAGAAAAAAAGAAGTTGAATGAGAGAAAGAGGAAAGAAAGATTAGAAATGCCTAAGGTGGGACAGAGAACTGAGGAGGGTTTTTTTTTTCACATACAAGGAGAAAGTCTGCTAAATTCAACGGAATTTGTTTCCGTCTAAACTTGACTTCATGGTGGCACAAGTATGTAATATCGTACATACTTATTTAGGATTTAAATGCTGAATAAATACATGGGACTATGCTGAGCAAAGGCCTTTTTGGAGAACACAGTTCATTTTCTTTGGAAAATTTGGACTTCTCAGTTGCCCCTAAAGAGAAATAATCAATAGTTTCACTGGGTACAATCTGCGATGTTTTTTTTAATATATAAATGCTCAATTAAAAACCTCCAAGTGATAGATGCCAAATATATGAAACATGGTTAGTGTTGGTTGTTTTTTTGCAGGAAGGGAGGGGTGGCTTACTATTTTGTTAAAATCTAGTCTGTTTAGATGTAAGATGTGATTAGATGTGTTTCTATATAAGATATGACCAGAAAACAGGGGAACCCAAACATAAAAATAAGCTACAAATGCAGATCTTGAGATCAAGAGAGGAAAAGAAGACAATGCTTACCTGCCAGCATCAAAGATTGAATGCAACTCTGAAAATGAGTTAGTAGTTAGTAGTACCGGTGGTAGTTAATAGTCTTGAGTAACTTGTCTGCTTGCTTGCTTGCTTTGACCTGAAAGATAGCATTGATGTCACTGTTATGTAAGGAGGAAGGACACCCCAGGTTTGGTGGGATTGCTTTTATCATAAGAAAGTGGGAAATGAGTCATTGGAACAGAATCTATCTCTCTCTCTCTCTCTCTCTCTCTCTCTCTCTCTCTCTCTCTCTCTCTCTCTCTGTGAGTGGATGTGGGTGCGCGCACACTAGAGAGAGCAATA